GAGGTTTTTCGTAACACCTTCACAATGATCTGCCCTTATAGAAAGATTTAGGGCAGCATATCCAGATCATCTCCAAACCAGACCAGACCAGATTGTGTCCGGAATGCATCCTAATGTATCCCTATGCTATTCCTGGCCTCTTGTCACACCAGCACAGTCTGTTCCAGACCAGACCAGAAAAATACTGCATGTCTCACTTTGTCTGGTCTGGAATGCACTGGAACTGGGGGCAGGTTCACATCATTTTCCGGACCAGATCTGGTTCAGAAAATGTTGAGAACCTGCCCTTAGGACTGAAATTTGAGGATTGTGTTTCTTTTGTTAACTTCATTAACATACAATGCAAGCCAGGGTTGTAATCATTTAACCTTTTGTTAGGATAAGCAGTGTACTAATACAAATGATAATGAACAAACTCCTCATTACCCCTCCTAACATTACAAAGAAGGAGAAGCAAATAGAAAGTTTAACCCTTAGGAAGCCAAAAACCCTAACCCAGTTAAAAGCAATTTAAACTGCAGGAGGCTTTTTTTTTTTTTTTTTAGCTGAAAATATGTTAATATATAACAAATAAAATAGGTGTTATCCCAGTTTGGCTGCAAAAGGGGAAACGCACATGATTGGTTTGTGATTACTTTGTCGCCTTGGAAGTTAGAGAAAAAAAACAGTCCGTTTTTATGCAATTTAAGAAAGATTAAATGTTCAGCAGTATTGTTGTGGTGTCTATAGGGTCATGTATTCTTGAGTCACACCCAGGGAAATATTGAAGAGTGTACATATGTTGCTTCCCGCCTCACGTCAATGGGCCCTTAGCCTGCTCTTTGGCCTGGAACACACACTGCGCATGTATCTGGACTGTTGTTACTGTCCATGCTGCAGGTATATGACCATGAACAGTATAATGTAGAACAGGCATGTCAGACTCAAATGAAAAATTGAGCTGAATGGAGTGGAATAAATCAACGAGGGCACATTATATCTATTTATGGCCTTACCTACTTAATGTCAGAAAAAGATTATAGCACTTTGGTAAGGAACATCATGGAAGCAATCACAACTTACAAGATTTCATACCAGAGAAAGGGGCTATAAGTCATTTCTTGAAGTATTGAGCCGCAACATCGCATATGGAAGTGTAGCTTTTGCCAACTAAAAAAGCAGCTTGGCCCTCTTTCAGTTAAAATTTCTAAACCACTGTGGGTTGCACAAAAATAGCAAGAGGGCTGCATGTGATCCAAAAAATACCAGTTTTGCATTCTGACCTCCTTTTGACCTGTAGTTGACCTCCTTCCAAGCTACTTCAAACTGCTTTTGCATTCCCATTGGCTTGTATGGAGAAAAAAAAGTAGTAAAGACCTGTGATCCTAACTAATTTACAGTGATAGGAGTAGAGGACTCTGCCTGTCTCATTTTACTGCCCCTGAGGGCAAAAAATCGGCAAGAAATAAGAATTACCATATTTAGGAAGGGGCACACATTTGCTAGCTTCTGCTAAAATTGTTGTGAAATAAAATGTATGTAACAACAACTTGTACAGTCAGTCACGTTATGGATTGGTATTTTTAGGTCATTAATTTGTAATGCAGAACATGAAGAATTATTTGCTTCCTACCTAGACTGCTGGTCCAAGATATTCCATTTAAGCTTCGGTGTTGCCACTTAGTGCATTGAACTTTTTTTTTATTTTAACCCTGCACCCTTGCCTTGCTGGTTCAGGGCAGTGCACGTTTATGCTCGTTGTTACTTACTGAGACTGCTAGTTAGAGGCATTGTACCTTTTGTATTATGGTGCTGCTCCCATAGATTCATGGCATTGTACCTCTTAAGCTTTGATGCTACCACCTTCCCTACTGGTCCATGGCACTGTACCTTTTTAACTTGTAGTGCGGCCACCGCAGCCTGCAAAGCATTGCATTGTTGACTCCTACGTAGACTGCTGGTCCACAGCAATGTGTGTATTAAACTTTCGTGCTTAGCCTGTGCTTGTCTAAAGCATTGTAGCTTTATTGCTTTTGTTACTGCCTGCTGGCCAAAGGAACTGTACATTTATAGTGTAAATGTGGCCTTGATATTAATAGCATTATTATACCTGTGTGTATTGAGGTTACCATAAAATGTGGCAGACACGGGCATCTATATTACATTCTTGAATACAAAGATTAAGTCTGCCGTGAAAACATTAAATGGCAGCCAAACATGCGTTCAGCTTACGACAACCCAGTCATTTGGTCAGTGAGCAGGAGATAGGCCTATAAAGGAAGCTTTTACCCCAGGCTGGGAACTCGTCCACAGCGGGTTTAGTTGATGATAAGGTCAGATCCTAGAATTACTTTTCCTGCTGTTACATGTGACTGGCTTAAAAATCACTAACCTTTACAAATTGATTTAAGTTTTAATGTTCTGGAATCCCAGAGAATATCAGATTGTAAAGACTTTGAAATAAAGTTTTTTTTCATGCTTTTGGAATCCTGTGACTTGAATTTTAATAGCCTCATTTCCTGCATGTTGTAAGAAAATATCTATAAGGCAACTTTCAGTGATTTAACCCGCATATCACTTTTCAATGTCAGATAAGATTAAAAAAATATAAACAGTCTACAGAGACTCATAAAAGCAGAGCTGGCTCCCTTGACATTTATTTTGTAGCGATGATGGATATTCTGCAGAACCGGGAGAGGAAGGGAGATATAGTTTATATATTTATATTTTTAGATTTGAAATAACATCACATAAAAGATTAAAGGAAACATACTGAAAGTAGTATGTAGGCTACCTTTTGAAAATCCTAGTGGTCTGGGTTTCTGTGGCTTCAGGACTTTGGCATTGCTAGTTGTAGGGATGCACCTATACTAGTGTCAGTATCTGTGCCGATACCGAGTATTTGGGTGAGTACTCATACTCGTCCAAATACTCCTGATGCCTATCCCAATACCGGAAGTTGCGGTGAGTCATTACACGCTGCCCAGTTTCCTGATTGGCCAGGAAGCTGGCTCCATGCTCCCTCGTCACCAGGGAGCATGGAGCTAGCTTACCGGCCAATGAGGAAGCCGGGGTGGCACGTAATTACTCACTCCCTGTGTTCCTGATTTGCCAGGAAGCCGGCTCCATGCTCCATCACTTGGTCGGGAAGCTGGCAAATCAGGAAGCCGAGCTGCGAGTCATTGCCCGCCCCCCGGCTTTCTGATTGGCCAGAAAGCCGGCTCCATGCTTCCTTGTCACCTGGTGATGAAGTAGCATGGAGCCGCCTTGCTGGCCAATCAGGAAGCCGGGTGCTGTGCAATGAGTAGCTGCCTGGCTCACTGATTGGTGGGGTAATTGGGAAGCTGGGTGGCGAGTTGTAGGAACGCCACCCGCCTTCCTGGCTAATCGGGAAGCCAGGCATTGTGTCATTACACACCGGCCAGCTTCCTTAATGGGACTTCCGGTATCAGTTTTTGGTATCAGCGAGTACCGTAAAAAAATATCGGTACTCGTACTTGAATATTTAAGTCACTGGCCTGAAAAACAGGGCAGCAAGTGAAGGCAGAACTCCTGATCTGCATACATGTTCCTAGTCAGTCATTTAGAAATGTGTAAAAAAAGTGTATCAGTATGACAGTCAGCCAACTAACATTTGCAAAAGAAGAGTCAGCAACTGAAGCCTACAGGGAGATCACAGTGCAGGTTTCGTTTACCCAGGCAATATTTTGCTGGTGTTCCATGTCCTCACTGCAGGTAGAGCGAGGGTATTATGAACCCCAAAGACAGTGGGTGGAAGCAAGAGCTTCAGGTGGGAATTATACTGTAAGTGTACACTAAAAGAACATGAAAGTATTTACATGTTCTTACCAATCAGTAAATAATCTTTAAAAAATGCCATCACTGACCTCTGTAGCTACATGTTTTGTAGAACATTTTTTTTTTGCATTTTATCGCAGAAGCCCTGAAAATCTCTAATATAAACATACAGAAGTTCCTTTTGGTAGAGGGGAGCAGGGTGTGCTGAGCATCTGAGAGAATAAATATAGATTCCCGAGAGAGATGAGCTACATGGAAATAGAGGACATTTGCTTTTTTTTCTGTCTATGTTTTTCCTCCCAGTGTAACCCACTTTATTTTACTTTGTTTTATTGTTCACTGCAAACAGCTGTACATGGTAATGGGTGTGCCAATTTTATTATGTGTATACATCGGAATCTATTGCACTGTATAACATCTACCATCTGTTGGGTAGATGAGATTAAATGATACATTTAGGCTGCAGGGATACAGCTTTTCCGGTTGGGCCTATGCTGAAAAGTAGTATATGGCTGCAGAACCACTAGAATAAGTGTAGGCCATGGCAAAGGAAGGAGTCTGGCTCATCTGAAGTCTGTTGTAGTAAGTATGGGAGAAACCGGGATGGTGAGGGGTGGGGGGAGAGGGAGTGCTGACATCAAAACTCAAAAGAAAATCAATCCTTTCTAGCTAATCTGTAATTTTATTAGAAAAAAATGATGGTGAGTTATAGGGGTGGTAGAAACTTGTGGTTCTATCTGTTATGAAATGGTAAAGCTCCATTTTGGATAGTGTCAGAGTTTACACAGGGTTAATGACTTCCGCCCCTCCTTTATTTGACAGTGTTTAGGGCTGCCAGTTGACCTATAGGCTCAAACACGCCATACCGGAAGTGGAGGAGCTGACATGCTACCCCATAACCAAAAGCACTGGGTATTCCCCAAGGGCTCCGATAGCAGTTGAGTGACAGAGGAGCACAGCGAAAACTTTTGTATCAACAAATGAGGTGGTGTTCTTATAAGAGAACCTGTCACTTTGGTGTGGACAGTAAAATTCTTCTTCTTAAGAAGATTTGTATGTTTTCTATGTGTATTATGTGGATATATATTTCCCTGCATTTCTCAGATATGCGTGGTATTTTACTTGAATCACTGAAAGAATGATAATGCCAAGCTCCTTATAATTCTCATGAGACACATATTTGGGCACTGGCATAACATATTTGAACTATTTTTGTCTTTAAAGCTGGAAGCAACCATGAGTACTGAACTGAATATCCCAGTGGACCCTTCCACCCCTGCAGTCTCTGAGCGGGAGAACAAAGGCATGGACTACAGAGACTGGGTGAGACGCAGTTACTTGGAGCTAGTCACATCTAATCATCACTCTGTGCAGGCCTTGTCTTGGAGGAAACTCTATCTCAGCAGAGCCAAGCTTAAAGCCTCCAGCAGAACTTCTGCATTGCTTTCTGGATTTGCAATGGTAAGGTGAATAGTAGTTATGTGTTAAAGCAATACATTTACATGTCATATATACAGGAAAAGATTTAAGCTTGTGTTCCAGTTCCAAGCAGCTGTTTAGCAAACACTTTCTAGCCTCTGACTAACTTTGCTAGTAATTACTATTATTGTCTTATTTTTAAAGTGCCAATGCTGTACATTAATGTTTTGTTTTAAAGAAGGGTTTCCATTACTGTCTGCCTGAACCCACTGTCAGTCTTAAAGGATAAGTGCATTCATCTCTTCCTACCCACCCTGTATCCTTAGCATTTTGAACATAGGAATGCCTTCATGTCGGGTTGCAAATTAGTTTTCAATTGAAGTGAATGGAGCCTGCAGCTGTTTGAAAAAACAGAAGGTGATGAACACTGTCAAATGGGTAGGAGGGATGAAGTAGGGAAAGCAGGGAATAGGCAGCTCTGATCATTTGACTAGTGGAGACCTGTTACATAGAACCGGTCAGTTTGGAGTCTACTTCCCCTCCTTCCCTACATCGTTACAGACTCGGCAGCAAAACCCAGGATTTTTTTCTGCTTTAAAGTGAACCTGTCGCTAGGCAATGAATATCAAACGAATTACATGTGCTCAAAGTGCCTCTAGCATTGGATATATCTTTTAAGTGCTTGCATGTTTTTATTGTATAAGTGTAACACTTAGGCCTCGTTCACACCTATGAGTTTTTGAGCAGTTTGAAAAGTGCTTTTAACTGCCCAACTCAAAAAATCCCATCGATTTTCAATGGCCCCCGGTTCACACCTGAGCAGAAAAACGCCAAACGCCCGAAAAGGTACAGGAGCTTCTTTAGGCAGATAAAAGCGCTTTTTTGCTCCATAGACTTAATTGTAAATGCCCAAAATTCGTGAGCGTTTTTGCACATTTATATGCTCGTTCTTACATTGCCCACAACGGTTTATGAGCTGCCAATCAAAACGCGCGTCTTCATGTATGCGCGTTAAAACGTGCATACAAATGTGCACAACGCGCATAAATGTTCAAATAACCGCATGGTGTTAACGCGCATATAAACGCACAAAAACGGTGCCGCCTAGGTGTGTACCCAGCCTAACAGGTATGACAGTACTCCCCCTGACAATTCCAACTTCTTTTATTTCCAGAAAGATGACGCCATCTTTGTTTGGGCGTCATCCACGAGTAACCTTTTCCTACTGGACTGAGATGCTGGCTCGGACATGATGCAATCTAAATCCTGTCTGTTTACAAATGTATGACACATATCAACCCCCTGCTGTAGCCTCTCATCTTGTAACCTACAAAGATAAAATGTTGCAGACTGATTATTGGAGGAAAAAATAATGAGAAAATGCAACCCCCTGAATACAGCAGCCTGATGGCCTCATCTTAGCCTATGCAAAAGTCACTTGCCTGGAGAACAGAGTCTGCTTTATAATGATAAAAAGGACATTTAAAAAAAAAAAAGAAAGCAGCTGTTTTCATAGATCTATAGAAGCCCATCAGATACCTGCTGTTTTGGGCAATTCAGAATAGTCAGATGTTTTGTTTTTAGCCATTCGTGGGTGCTTTTAACGGTTTGGGGGTCATTAACCTTTCTGACACGAACAGTACGTTTCAGTACTATGGCCACAGCGAGGGAGGTTTTGCTACACTCCCATGGACCTTAAACTTCTTAATAATATTTGCAAATGTAGTTGCAGGAACTTCTAACTGTTCGAAGATCATTTTTTTCAATGATAGCTTTTACCAAAATCAAGCTATTTGGAGATGACCGTATAGCTATAACCTTTGACATGCTGGTCTATAATTTTCTTTTCTTTCTGATCACCTCAGACAACTCTCTCCTTTGCTTTCTCTGGTCTCAATGATCCCAAACAGCAGAGTTACTTGTTTTCTCCATTTAAACATTTCTAATCTTTTCCAGGGGTACCAACAAATCTGTCCAGGCCATTCTAGAATATAATAAAGTATCTCTTTTCATATTTTCTTTACTTTATTTGATGACATACCAAACACATGCAGGTATACATCAGACACTTTATATTAATGTAATAATTTTCAGGAGGAAGGAAGCCTTTTTTCGATATGCTGTAAGGGCGCCAGCTAATTTGTCCACATCTGTATATTTCTATGTTTCACACTTGCAAAGTTACTGAAAGGTCCACTTTAACAAGCATTAAAATACCTCTTCAGCAGATGCTCAGCGATTCCATGCAAGCACTGAGCAGCAGTAACTTAATCTGGAATTTTACAGCCAGAGTAATTTGCTTTCCTAGTCTTAGGTGTAGGAATCAGAGTAGTCAAACAACGGAGACCTTATGGGCTGCTATAGGTCTCTGCAAACAATTGCTTATAAAAGATATAAAACATTGAAAATTAAATATTGAGATGCGTACTAGGAACGCAGGCTACCTGCTGAGTAATGCAGGTTTCCAGTTTTTTTTATCCAGCAATTGTTGTATTACTTCAGTTCACTCCACTCCCTTTTGTCTGTAATCTGGTGATTCTTTAACAAATCTGCTGGTGATGCTGAAACACTCATGGCAGGTATCTTGCTGCTTTTCACATGCAGAAATTCTGATGTATAAAAATACCAAAACTTCCTTTCAGCCACCAATCAAATTCAAGCCTGCCTTGGAAGTCAGAAAAAAACATGCTCCACATTACAGGCACCTACCTATTTCCCTGCTCCTGATTCTTTATAGAGGTATTTGTGTGGTTTTTCTGCAGAGAAAATTAGCTTTCTGACTTTAGTACAGTTGCTATGTTAACTGACTAGTATTATCAACAGTAAATGTGTTTGCTTGTTGCCTGGAATTTCTCTTTAAAAAAACTCTCATGTACAAAAATAAATTGATCGTCTTCTCTGTGCTCAGTTGACATAGAGAGCAATTGCTTGGTAGCTTTTGTACATGTTCAACTCATAAACAGGAAACAATAATACTGTTATGATACAAACAGGTAATGGTACTGCTGTGTTGATGAGGTATAAACCAACAGCATAACTTGTGTATGTGTATATACCGTATTTTTCGCTCCATAAGACGCACTTTTTTTTCCCCCCAAAAGGAGGGGGAAAATGTGCCTGCGTCTTATGGAGCAAATACCTATCGCCCGACGCCCGGGTAATGCAGTTTCGGGCGCCGGGCGAGTAGTTTCTTTTTGTACATTCAGCCCTGCTCCTGACAAGCAGAGCTGAATGTACAGTGGGAGCCGCTGTTCGTTTAATACAAGGGATCTAATTAGATCCCTTGTATTAAATCGAGCGGCATCGGCGATCGTGTCCGCCCCCCGCCGTGGTTTTCTGGGTACCCCGTTCCTCTGGGGGACCATGACCCGTCACGGTCCCCCATAGGAGCTCACCATAGAGCCCATTGAGCAGACGAAGAACGTCGTTCTTCGTCTGCTCTGTGTGATTACTGAGACAGTGCCACCTGTCTCAGCAGTCACTAACTGCAGCTTCTGTGACAGAATTTCTGTCATAGAATTTCTGTCACAGAAGCCATGCGTCCTATCGTCCGGAGCGTCTTATAGACCGCAAAATACGGTATACAATATATGTGTATTGCTTCTGACCTGAAGAAGAGAGGTTCACTCTCGAAAGCTTGTCTTTTATATATTTTGTTAGTCCAATAAGAAAGGCATCATTGCACACTGCAATACTACGTTTTTGTTTTTTTTGAGGTCTTGTCTACTGGACTAATACGACTTACCCATTATATATATATATATATGTATGTGTGTGTGTGTGTGTGTGTGTGTGTGTGTATATATACACACACACACACTATATTACCAAAAGTATTGGGACGCCTGCCTTTACACGCACATGAACTCTGAAGGCATCCAAGTCTTAGTCCGTAGGGTTCAATATTGAGTTGGCCCGCCCTGTGCAGCTATAACAGCTTCAACTCTTCTGGGAAGGCGTCCACAAGGTGTAGGAGTGTGTCTATGGGAATGTTTGACCTTTCTTCCAGAAGTGCATTTGTGAGGTCAGGTACTGATGTTGGACGAGAAGGCCTGGCTCGCAGTCTCCGCTCTAATTCATCCAAAAGGTGTTCTATCAGGTTGAGGTCAGGACTCTGTGCAGGCTAGTCAAGTTCCTCCACCCCAAACTCACTTATCCATGTCTTTATGGACCTTGCTTTGTGCACTGGTGCGCAGTCATGTTGGAACAGGAAGGGGCCATCCCCAAACTGTTAGCTCAAAGTTGGGAGCATGAAATTGTCCAAAACGTCTTGGTATGCTGATGCCTTAAGAGTTCCCATCACTGGAACTAAGGGGCCAGCGCAACCCCTGAAAAACAACCCCACACCATAACCCCCCTCCACCAAACTTTACACTTGGCACAATGCAGTCAGGCAAGTACTATTCTCCTGGCAACCGCCAAACCCAGACACATCCATCAGATTGCCAGATAGAGAAGTGTGATTTGTCACTCCAGAGAACATGAGAGACTAGAGTCCAGTGGCGGCGCGCTTTACACCACTGCATCCGACGCTTTGCATTGCGCTTGGTGATATAAGGCTTGGATGGAGCTGCTCGGCCATGGAAAACCATTCCATGAAGCTCTCTACGCATTGTTGTTGTGCCAATCTGAAGGCCACACGAAGTTTGGAGGTCTGTAGCTATTGACTCTGCAGACAGTTGATGACTTCTGCACACTGTGCGCTTCAGCATGCGCTGACCCCGCTCTGTCATTTCACATGGCCTACCACTTCGTGGCTGAGTTGCTGTTGTCCACACTTGCTTCCACTTTGTTATAATACCACTAACAGTTGACCGTGGAATATTTAGTAGCAAGGAAATTTCACGGAACACCTGAATCCAATGATTTGGAGGGTGTCCCAATACCTTTGGTAATATAGTGTGTGTGTGTATGTATGTATGTATGTATGTATGTATGTATGTATGTATGTATATGTATGTGTCTGGACTCTGTGGTGGCCAATCCATGTGTGAAAATGATGCATCATGCTCCCTGAAGCACTCTTTTACAATTTGAGCCCG